AAGAGGATTAAAATAGAAAGAAATGGGGTTGAAAATCTTTCCTTTCTGTAGTCGGTGAGTGATGGCCGGTGCTGACCTACTGGGGCTGGCACGGTGGAGGAGCCAGTGGTTTTTGGGTTTATGAAAACCCCATGAACCCAAGATGAACGCATTAATAGAATTTGAGAGAAAGCTTTTTGATTCAATTTTTTTCGGGTATAAAATGAAGTAATATTGTAAAAAGTTGGCCTTTGTATTTGGCCAGTACAGTCCATTGGTTCAATATGCCTGTTAGGCTGAATCCACGCGTTTTAATGGAAAATGAGAACATTATTTTTTGGTCCTCCATATATCTACAATGATTACGTTTTAATCCCATATCATCTTTTAATCTTCTCGGTTTAGCACCTTAACTTCAACCCTATTCCATTTTAGTCCCCTTTGTATGGTTTTTAATATATTTTCTTTATTTTTATTTCGAATGCAAATATTAAAATATTTCAATTTAGTCCTTTTTCTCCCTTTTTATTTATCTCAGTTTAGTTTCCGTATTTTGAATCCTTTTAATTTGGTCCCTAAATGCATGTGTTATTTATAAGTAGGCCTTTTACTTTTAAATATTTGTAGAATGGTTGTGTAATTTATTATGTGCTTATTTAGTCTTTGTTTTTGTTTACTTATTTATATTTCTAGTATTTATTCACATTAATTTAATAAAAGTTACATTTTTATTCTTATATATTTGTTTAATTTCTTCTTTTGTTTTTGTTTCTATTTTATTTTTACATGTAATTAATAAATACATATTTACTTTCCCTGTATTTTAAAATTATGATGGCATCTACATTAATTTTCTTTAGTATATATCTAATTATCATTAAATAACATTATTTCATAATTATATACATTTATTTTATTATAATGTTCACAATATTAAATGTATTAAATGTTGGAAAGTATATATAGGTACATTTTGATATTTATATCTTTTATTGGAAATGTATTATATATGTATATTTTATTTTATGCATTTTTTTAACTAATCCAAGTTATAATTTATTTGTTTTGTTATATGTATACACTGTTAAATATTTTAAATGTAGAATGTATTTTTTTATATTTTTACGTTATTATTTAGAAAAATGAGGAATAAGAATAAATCGAAGTGAATTTCATTTTTTTCTTAGAGGTTAAGCAAATGAAATTCCTTCGAATTTATTCTCTTTCTATCTCAAATATTAAACTTTATTTTCGTAATTATTCAAGGAGAAATCTGTTTGTCTTAGATGTTAGTCAAATCAAAATCTTTTGAACTTATCTTACTTTTGGAAATAACATTAATATTTAATTCTTTTTCGAGGCCATTGTCATTCGAGGAGAACCCTTCTCGCTTTAGATCTTGAGCCAGTTGGATTCTTTTAAATTGATAATATTTTGAATTATATTTTCATTCATTCGATAACTGATCGGACTTTTCAGACTTTGAGAAATACTTTTAGACTCTTTTAGATGTTAGAGAAATTTATAATTTTTTAAAGAGTTGTGAACCCCAACTTTGAACATAATTCATAAAAATCAGGGTGTTTTCTAAAGTGAGACAAAGTTTTTCATTGTTTTTCTAGACTGTAAAAAATATTCGAAATTGCCCATAATATATCTTACATTGAAATTTTTAATATAGACTAATGCATGATTTTTTTTTTTAGTTTCTCGGCTGTAATTTCATGTTCTCTTAGCTGTTAGGAAATTCGAAATTATATTTGAAAATGTTAAAATTCTGTGTTAATTTAAAAATTATTTATTACATTCATATGTCTAAACAAAAATATTTGTGATTAAGTACGTGTCATTTTTACGGGTGTTGTGAGGGTGCTAATCCTTTCTCACACGTAATCGTGTCCTCGAACTCAATTTTGGTTATTGCAGACTTGAACAATTTTTGGTGACCCAATCACACTTAAACTGATTGGTGGCGACTCCCAATCATTTTTTTAAAAGTACGTAAACATAATTTTTTATTGATCGGGTAAAAATGGTGTGCACTAGTGTCAATGGCCATGAGTCACAACGAGAAACCTGTGAAACTCTGAATATAATTTCAAGACATGAAAACGGAAGATGTTTTACTATTTCATCAGATTAAATCTAGTTAAATATAGAATCATCTTCCAGTTTTTAAAGGAAATGATAAACACAATGCTAGAAAAATTTTTGTTGTCACATAACATGTGGGGAAATTGTTTTATAAAAAAATTATTTTTTAATTAAGGTTCCCTGCAAGGAAAGAGATAAACACCATATAAGTTATGGAAAGGTAGAAAAGCTTACTTACAATTATGTTAAGATTTTTGAAGTTAAGAGATCAACTATAAAAGTTGCCAAGAGGGGGTGAATTGGACTTTTGAAAATTTTGGGCATGGAGGAGAAAGAATAGGAAAACTTGTACAAAGATTTATAGTGTTTTGACTTCTAAACCAAGTCTACATCCACCACCTTAGTTCCACACTAATGATTTTTCTAACAAATTCACTAATTTGTTCTTTCTTTTTCTAGGCTCAAGAGTAACCTTTACAAAATCTCTATCTTTTCAAAGGCTAAGATAGAACCACTCCCCTTTTACTAAAAAGATAAAAGATGTAAACAATAAAAACTTCACAAGGTAGATGTTTACAAGAATTAAGCTAACAAGAAAACAAATAAAAGATCTACAATGAGCTCAAACGCTTATGTACAAGAGACAAGGGAAAATAAAGAGTGAAATAGCTTTTCTCTTGATCTCTATTGGTTGGATAGTGTTGTAACCTTCTTCAAGTGTCCTCAACTTGTTTTTATACGTTGGAATGAGTTTGTGACCATTTCTAATTGTTTTTGACCGTTGAGGATTAATTTTCTATTAAAATAAAATTGCTCGAATAGGGACTATCAGTACTCAGGCTAGGAGTATTAGTCTATCATTGTAATATTTAAATAAACTAGCCGTTAAAGACTGTTGGGCTAGACCAGTATCGATACTAGGGTTTTATAGCATCGATACCACTATGTAAAGTAGTATCGGTACTATGTAAAGTACCCCTTGAGTATCGGTACTAATTTCGCAGTCTGGAATTTAAACATTTTGAAAAACAACAGGTAGTATCGATACTACCAGGAGAGTATCGATACTTATCTTACGTTTGGTATCGGTACCACATGAACAATATTGATACTATAAAAACAATATCGGTACTACTTACCCAAAAAACTGTTTTGTGTTCAAATTCTAGTTTAATGGACTTTTAATTATTTTTGAAAACTTTGAACAAATTCAATCAAGTCCAAAATCTTTTTTCCCTTAGGTTGTTATATCAAAATATAGGTTCAACAATATCTCCTATTTTGATATAACAAAACATTTGAAAAATGTTTTTTTTACAAAACTCCACCTTAATAAAACATTTCATGAAAAAGAGAAATATTTTGGAAAATGTTTAAGCTCTCCTTTTTCATCTTTGAAATTGAATTTTTCAAACCTATACTTATTCCCTTTTTTTATATCAAATATATTTCAAACTTTAAGGTTCAAAATCACAATGGAGAGTAAGTAAACATTTAGCATAAAATCATTTGAAAAATCAAAGCCCCCCAATAAAAGCATTCCATAAAAACCTTTGACGCAAAGGTTTAACACTTAAAAGAATATTGAATTTCAATAAGATAAGAAAGAAAACACATTAGTAGCATATGAAATTCAATAAATAGAAGTCAAACATACTACATGCATTATCAGTGAATGAGGCATTTTTACTCATAAGCATAAAGCATTCCAAAATGTTAAGCATTTAACATAGATATCAATTTTTAGAGAGATATCATAAGAAATAAAGAATACATGCATAAACATTCAAAATTTAAGGTCAAGAAAAAAATTTAAACATAATTTAAACATTCAAAAAATACAACTTAACCAAAAACAAACATTATGATGAACTAAAATTTTATAAAAACACTCAACTTAAAAAATGTTCATCATAACATATTTTCAATATACATGAGATAACAAACAACATTTAATCATTCATGCTCAATATTACTCATGCATGCATAAAAATCAATAGGCAACCAATTAAAGTTAGAGGTTACCCATCATTCTTTTGTGTGACTAGAGCATTTGCAATTATTTATATTTATCAACATTGCTCCAACACACCAACAAGAGACATTCATTTGGATTTTGATACCCAAATTGTTTTGGGTCCTAGAGGGTTAGTATCAATGTCTCTAATTCCCTTATGAACTCATACTTGTCTAATTTTAAAAGATTTTCTTTTCTTTATAGGACAAGTATGCACATTGTGATCATGAAAATGGCAATGTGACCATTTTTTCGTTTTTAAAATAGATGAATCATTTTTAGAAATGATTTCTTTTTCTTTTGTTAAGCATTCAAGCTTAACTCTCAAATCAAGATTTTGTTTTTCTAAATCTTCAATTTTGATTTTTAAAAGCTTTAAATCATTTTTCAAAATTTTATTTTGTTTTTCAAAATCTAATTTGGCTTTCAAAATAAAATCATTTTCATTTTTGAATTTAGAAATCAATTTCTTATATTTTATATTCATGGTCTCAAATTCCAAATACAATTCATCATAGGCAAGTTGTAACTCGTTAAAAGAATAAGAATTTAATTTACTAGAGTTAGAAGTTACCATTGAATCTTCTTCGATGGCCATGAGGCATAGATTGAATACTTCATATTAATCATTGGAGTCATCTTCATCACTCCAAGTCGCTAAAAATGCCTTCTTCTTACTCGATCCATTCTTCTTTAAGAGGGGACAATCATACTTGACATGCCTCGTTCTTTGACATTTGAAGCACACCAGGGGACCCCTCTTCTTGCTTGATTCATGCTTCACTTCCTTGAAAGTCATGAATCTTTTGAACCTTTTGAAGAGCTTGGCCACCTCTTCTTCTTCATCTTCATCCACCTCTTCACTTGAGTCTTGATTACTTTTAGTGGTGGAATTAAAGGAACTCATGCCTCATTCTTTTTCTTGTTCTTTTTCTTCTTGATTCCTTTTGAGTATTATATTATGGGTGAGTAGAGAATCAATTAGCTCATCAAGAGTGAACAACTCAAAATTCTTGGCTTTTTCAATGGCGGTTACTTTTCCTTCCCAAGACATTGGTAAGGAATAAAGTATCTTTCTCACTACTTCTTCATTGGGATAAGATTTCCCAAAAATCTTAAGCTCGTTGATGATGGAAGTAAACCAAACATACATTGTTTTTATATCTTCATCGGGCTTCTTCTTGATGTTCTCGTAGTTGAGAATAAGAATGCCAATCTTTGACTTCTTCACTTGGTTGTTTCCTTCATGGGTCACTTCCAACTTGTCCCAAATATCTTTAGCATCAAAGCATGAAGATACTATACTATGTTCGTCTAGGCCAAGAGAAAAAAAGAGAAAGTGCATGTCTTTGACATTGAGTTGGGATAGTTTCATATCTTCATTTGTCCACACCAATTGATTTCATGAAGGGGAAGGAGAACTATCGGTGATGGCATCCTAAAATGAAATGTCGATAGCTTGAATGAACAATACCATCATATTCTTTTAATAGGAGTAGTTGACACCATTGAAGTAGGGAGGCCTTGTGATAGAGTGAGAGTCCTCGATGTAATATGAGCCGGAGGTCAAAGTCATCTTCTCGATTGCATCTGAAATTGATAGATCTTCTTTAAGGATTGTCTCAAGGTTGTTAAACCTTTTAATGAGTCTAGATCTGATACCGAATTTTAAGATTGTTAAAGCTAAGAGATCAACAAAAGAAGTTTCCAAGAGGGGGTGAATTGCCCTTTTGAAATATTTTGGGTATGAAAGAGAAAGGATAGAAAAAATTGCATAAAGATTTATAAGGGTTCAACTTTTAAGCCAAGACTACATCCACTACCTTATCTCCACACAAAGGATTTTCTAACAAATTCACGAATTTATTCTTTCTTTTTCTAGGCTCAAGAGTAACCTTTACAAAATCTCTATCTTTTCAAATGCTAAGATAGAACCACCCCTTTTTACAAAAAAAATAAAGGATGTAAATAAGAAAAACCTCACAATGTAGATGTTTACAAGAATTAAGCTCACAAGAAAACAAATAAAAGATTTTTAACGAGCTTAAATACTTATGTACAATAGAAAAGGGAAAATAAAGAGTGAAAGAGCTCTTCTCTTGATCTCTATTGCTTAGATAGGTGTTGTAACCTTCGTCAAGTTTCATAAACTTTTTTTATATGTTGGAATGATTTTATGACCGTTTCTAACCGTTGGGGATGTTTTGGAGCCGTTGGGGATTAATTTTATACAAAAATAAAACTCCCCAAAATAGGGAGTATCAGTACTTGGGCTAGGAGTATCGATATTGCCTTTGTAATAATTAAATAAAATAATCGTTAAAGTTCATTGAACTCGATCAATATTGATACTAGGGTTTCATGGTATCGATACCACTATTAAAGTAGTATCGGTACCCCTCGGGTATCAATACCAATTTTGCATTCTAGAATTTGAACATTTTGGAAAATACTAGGTAGTATCAATACTACCAAGAGAGTATCTATACTTCTCTTACCTTTGGTATTGGTACCACTTGAACAATATCGATATTGTTCATGTAGTATCATACTGTAAGAACAATGTCAATATTACTTAGCCATAAAATTGTTTTGTGTTCAGATTCGACTTTGGATTATTTTTTAAACTTTGAAAAAATTCAATCAAGTCTAAAATTATTTTGCCTTTAAGTTGTTATATCAAAATATCAGTTGAACAAATTACTTGAAAGTGTGGGGGTGTATTGCAAAGGTAATTGCTCATATATTGTAACAAAGTTTAAAAAGGCACATCTAAGGTGCGCCTAGACACTAAGGCGAGGCAAGGTGAGAATGAAGAGCCTAATTGGTCTAGGCAAGGCGATTTCAATGAAGCGCAATAAGTCATGCCTAAGGCGCACAAGTTGCGGAACGGAAGCTTAGAAAGGCACTGTACGTTCATTTTTTTGTTCTTTTTGTCTTTTTATTATGTTTTACATACTCACTTAGGCCAAAAGTGAGGCCACACAAAAATAATATTAATCAAACAAAATTTAAATTAACTTAGTCGAGTTAATGTGTAATTTGGACATAAAGCATAACACATTGTATATCAAACAATAATTAAATTGGATCGAATTTAAATTGAAATTAATTTGGTTAAGTTTTAAAACTTAAACTATAAAATGTTATTGCGTATTTGAGTTAATTTAAGTTTAAATTAATGATGAACTGAGTCATTTCAATCATAATTTAATTTAAATAATTACACCGAGTTTTGAGATTTAAATTAAATTGGTCGAGTTTTCAAATTTGAATTAAAATCGATTGTTTGATACACTATAAAGTTATTTCAAATATGAGATATTTCAATTCATATTAATCTTGGTTCAAATTATTTTTTATCATGACTCGAATATTCACAATGAAACTGTTTAAATTCATGGGGAACTCTACTTAATATAAATATCAATTAAATTAGACCAAATTTAAATTAATCTTGAATCGAGTTATTTCTGTCATGATTTAATTAAATTTCAGTTATTAAAATGAAGTTTAATCAAATGGATCAGCCTATAAGAGTTAAAATAAAAAAGGATCAGTCCAAACAAGTGTAAAAAAGTGGGGAAATAGAAGGAATTTATCCTCAAAAAAGAAAAAAAAAACTTGTTTAGGAATAAAGCAAGGTTTCACTTCATCTCGAGGTACTTCTCTCTCTTCATAAAACTATAGTCTTTATGCTTTTATAGACCTTGTTTCTTATCATTTTATTACCACAAATATAGAAACCCTCATAAAATGGTAATTGTTGATCTGGAAATGGAACTGGCCGTGTTGAAGCAAATACCATTAAGTTGTGAGAAAGTAGAAATTTTGGTGTTAACACATGAATTTTTGTATATTGATATGTTGCCAGTTTTTTTATCTTAATACTGACCATTTTATTTCCAAAGGTTCTTATTGCAATCATAACAAGTAAAGCAAGCATAACCATATTGGTATTATTGTTTCAATATTTTCTTTCATTGACTTGTTATCTTCTAACGGATAAATTGTTCATTTGTTGGCAAAGTGAGGCAGACATGTAAAATGAGAGAATGTCTAATTTGGGTTGGAATCACGGTTATTTAGCTGATCCTAAGGTCACAAATAATGCCACCGGCAAATATTGCTCGAATGTTTCCAAAGAAGTAGGTGGATATCGAAAAATAAAAGTTTGTAACAAGTGCTCTGACCATGTGAGACAAGAAATGGTTGAACACTTCCCCAAGAAAAAGAAAGAACGAGAGAATATGAATTTGGTGCATGACCAACAAGAGTATGATTATGATCAAATGGCTGATTTTGACGACGAAAATGAAATGCATGTGTTACAATTTGACCTAAAAAGAAAAAAGTTAAAACAACAATGAATCCAAATATTAAAAGGGAAATACTAGTTGGTACAACGAATGCTTTTATCAAATCTTCTACACAAACAATAGGTAAGCAAAGGGGTGAAAACATAGAGTCCCTTTATTGAAGAACGAAGTTGCAAATACCAACGAGACTATGGAAAATCATGGAGAAGAATGGGGTGAAAACAAGATGTCCTATTATGTCAGATGGATGGACTGATCGGTGTGAAAGGACAACCATTAACTTTTTAGTTAATTGTTCGAAAGGAAGCGTGTTCCTCGAGTCCGTTGATGCATAAATCTATTCAAAGACTGGTCATAAGTTATTTGAAATGCTAAGTAGAATTATGGATGAAGTAGTTGCTGGCAATATTGTACAAGATATAACAAACATTGGAAGAAACTTTGTAGCTACAAGTCCACTCTTGATGGCAAAGTATCCACATTTGTATTGGACTCCTTGCGAAACCTACTATGTTGATCTAATTCTTAAATATATTGGAGCAATTCATGTTATCGATAAGGTTTGAAAGAGGGCAATTCCAATTAATATTTCATTTATCAACGCTCAGTCTTTTGAATATGATGAGACAATTCATCAAACAAAGAAACTTGCTAATACCATCGAAGACAAGATTTTCTACAGTCTTTAACACACTTTCATCAATACACAAGAAATAAGATAACTTGAGAAATATGTTTACATCTCAAGAATGGAGAGATAGCAAATGGACCAAGGAACCTAGAGGGAAAAGAGGTAATGATACTATTTTGATGCCTTCCTTTTGGAATGGTATTGTATATGCAATGAAGTTAAGTGGTCTTTTAGTTCGTGCACTAAGAAAAATTGATGGAGAGAAAAAAACTTTCCATGAGATACATATATAAGGTTATGGATCGTGCTAAAAAAGCTATTGCAACTTCATTTAATGAAAATGAGTCCAATTACTCCGAAATCTTTAAAATGATAAACAAGAGATAGGAATTCCAACTACATCGCCCTTTACATGCTGCTGGCCACTTTCTTAATCTTGAATACTTTTATGATAATCATCAACTTGAGAAATGCGAAGAAGTGATAAATGGCTTGTATGAATGTATCCTAAGGTTGGTCCCTGCATTTGACAAGTAAGATAAGATTATGGAAGAGCTCACTGCTTACAAGAAAACACACGGACTATTTTGGAATTTAGTGGCTATTAGACATAGGAAGTCTAAGGCTCCAAGTAATCAAAATTTAACTCTTTTATATATGATATATCATATACTTCAATTTTTCTAAATATAATTTTTTTATGTTGCAGCTGAATGGTGGGCATGTTATGGTTCTTCAACAACTACTTTACAACAATTTGCCATAAAAGTTTTAAGCCTTACTTGTAGCGCATCACGTGTGAGAGAAACTAGAACACTTTTGAGCACATGATCGTTAAATAAATTTATTTAATTAGTAATGTTATTTCTTGGTCTTTTGATAATTATAAACTGAGAAAACTTCTTTCAATGTCTCATAGATTCATAAAAAAAAAAAAAGAGAAATAGGCTCACATAATCTAGACTAAATGACTTGGTGTATGTTAAGTACAATTGAGCACTGGTTCAACGATTCAAGTTTCATGATAAAATTGACCCAATAGCTTTGAAAGACGTTTATGACAGCAATGAATGGTTGACGGGAAGGACATATGAAGATGCTCAAGAGGAGTTTGTATTCGAAGAGGATGAAGGTCTTACTTGGGGACACATTACGATTGTTGTTGGGGTTCATGAAGAGTGATTTAACTTGATATCAAGAGGATCTAACAAAGAGGAAGAGATGGTAGTTCACGGGAATCCCCAAGACAAGGAGATGGAGATGAATATAGGGAAGACAACGAAGGCTATCACTCATGGAGATGATATGGAGGAAAATTTGGCTGAGGAAGATGACTATATATGATGTCATATTATTATATATCCTTTTGAGATTATTATATAATTAGCTTCGTCTATTTACAATATAAAAAAATTCACATTGCAA